AGGTCGCTCACATCAACCGGGTAGGTCGAGTAGGTCTTGCACGGGTTGTCCTGACTAGATGCAGTCCCAGTCGCCTCATTCACGATTCATAGCTGCTGTTCAGGTGTGAGTGGCGTGTTCCGTGCCTTGACATCAACCAGATGTTCCTGGTGTTGCACGGGGGTGTGGGATAGGATACAAAGGTTGGAGCAATGAGTTTAGGGTTCAGTCATGCGACATTCAAACGACAATGGATTTGAAGGCGTGCACATGGGATGTTTGCTCACCTTTGCAACATAGCGGATGCTGCACGACATCTGCAATCCATGCGAGAGTGAGCAAGTGATCTTACCACTCTCGCGGTAGTCGCACACCCAGGCATACAGCACGGGCCGCACGGTTTGTCACCAATTGAAAGGGTCCCTGAGACGGAACCCGCTGCAAGGAACAGGGAGAGTGGCAACAGGAATGCGGACGACGGCTTTGTGCATGCAGGAAGAGGGGCAAAAGGAATGCTACATAGAGAGACACTTTGCATACTCAGCAGGCGATTGGTTGACGATATTGCTAAATGCAAACTGAGAGTACGTACCTTTCCATGCCGTCGAGAAGCGGCAGCAGCATGGTGATGACGCAGCGCTGGAAGAGCATCACCTTCTCCACAGCAGATATTGCAGCAGGCGGTATAGGAAGGAGGGCAAGAAGCGTGTGCCCAGCTTTCCCCCATCGCTTGGCTTGGAAGATGTTGCCAAGCGTCATCATGAGCGGCCACGCCTTCTTCCGACCGTTGTTGCTCATGTGGGTCACATCCAAATAGAGGATGATTCCCCCACGATTTCGGTCCATCCTAATTGTTCCTGCAATGCACGACAAAAAGGCAACGGACACATGATGAAGAATCATCTACAAGCATCATAAACAACCACATGATAACAACAGTTTTATAAGCACATGGGCAGCAGCAGGAGCTCAAACACCAGCAAGGAAGCGAGTATCGCCAGCATTGAACCAGCGTCATAGCAAGAGCAACGGACATGACAGACTCCAGATGCTCCAAACACTTAGCGCAGCTTATGAGGCATGAGCACGGATCGGGTTATGGGTGGCAAAAGGGTATTTGCTTACCTGTGCTTCATTCCACCACGTTCCTGTTTCCGGAGTGGTACAGCGACACTCGCCTGTGTCAGGGTCCTCATTGACACGCGCTTTGAGCTTGAACACGGGCGCGTTATTGGGATGCCCAAACAGTTCGGCGAATGCCTGGTGTAGGGTGGTAATGACATGGAAGAACAGTGGCATGGTTAGTGGCATGGAAGGTGATGCAGATCCCATACAAACATAAGGAAGATAACATGAAACATTCACAATCTAGAGGACACAACAACATTCCATAAACAACTCTAGAGGCACAGCTTACCTGAGCCGTGCCGGAAAAGCAGGTGCTATGGTGGATGACCCTCAACCTCGAAAGTCGCCACCGACCATCCGCGATTGAGGCCTGCCAAGTGCTCCATCTCGAACCTCTCCAGAACCTTGCAGTTCCTTAGCTCCGAGGTCAAGAGCTCTACCACGAGCTGTAGTAGGCCATTATGTCAACCTCTGCCATTCCCATTCCGCCATTCACGTCCCGAACGGAATGCTTCAGCTTCAATGCGAGCGGATTGAGGGGTGTGGCATCATGCTGTCCGCTGACAATTGTCGGCGGCGCGGCTTGACTCCTTTGAGACTGGACCTCCGGATGTTCACTCGTGTCTGCTGCAGGTGTTGCTGGTGGCGGTTGATATTCATCTTCAGGAGCAGCCTCGTGCACAGCCGAGGGTGTATCATCTTCGTCTTCTTCAGGCACGCGAGGAGAAGCTCCCCCACTGATGGTGTTGGATGCGTTAGATGGGTAGGCGAAGCGGGAGAGGCGTGAGCTTCAGAGATAATGTCGTGGACGAATAGCAGTGCGTGGAGACCAGCGGACGGCGCAGATCACAAGGGCCTTGCCACGGCGGAAAGGCCTTCACAGGGGGTCCGCCGTGACTTATGGCTGCCATATACTTGCGCGTTGAGGAACCATTTGTTGCAAAACTCGCAGACAACGCCTGGCAATGAGCCCATTCCCGATCCGTCAAAGAGAGGAGAGAAGGTGCATGACGCCACTAGGCCATTTGAAGCTTGCTGCTTCATAAAGTACACGGTGAATGAAGGCCAATGCTCCAGCAGGGCCGTCGTCAAAGTGCGGTCTGTACATGGCGGCTTGGAGCTTTGCACGCCTGGCACTTGAGCATGGCGCGAGTGTTTAAGAGTGGCTAAGGATTGACGAGCCGTGTGGCCGTGACGAGGCACAGTACAGACTGCATACAACATGACATTGCCCTTTCCTACAAGGCACGTTGCCCCCTTTGCAGCGAACACGACGTGAGCATGGCCTTATGTACAGCAGTATAGCAAAGCGCGCCGTGGGCATGGTGAGAAGAACGTGCCTACTGATTCAAAACTTGGGTTTTTGAATCGTGCGTGAAAGTCGAGAGGCCATGGAAGAGAAGGAACAAAATCACGTAGGTGAGCCCAAAGTGGTGCGCACCTTCCTCTACCTTAATCCAATCGGTAATCACAATGAACAGTTACATCTTACATAGATAATAATATCTTCCTTAGAGATTTAAGCACCATACTTTAGGGGATGGTCATCACCAACCCTTTAACTGCAACGGTAGTGTTTTTAAACCCTCCCACAACTCTATTGATGTCACAAAACATCCTAGAAGTTTCCAAAAACTCCGTATCCTTATCTAAGATTGTTGAATGAAACCCAATATGTTCATCAACGCAATAGTAGATCATCTCTTTGCTGCATGCCATGATATTCAAACCACATCCTTTGTTGGACCTTGAGATGGTTCTCCTCAAGATATGAGCCGAATCCAGTACCATACCACAACGGTTTCACCTTTCGTTGCAACCCAAACACCTGGTCGCTGCAACGTCGCCCTGTCGAGACATGGTTGTCGATAACATATCACCGCTTGTGCGATTGCCCTTTGCTTCATACCACTCCATTTATGCACCTTGTTGAAGGTCCCCTAAATATACGTGCACAATCCAATACCATACCACAACGGTTTCACCTTTCGTTGCAAACCAAACACCTGGTCGCTGCAACGTCACCCTATCAAAACATGGTTGTCGTTAATATATCACTGCTTGTGCGATTGCCCTGTGTTTCATACCACTACCTTTATGGACCTTGTTGAAGGTCCCCTCAAGATATGAGCCCAATCCAATACCATACCACAACAATTTCGCCTTTCGTTGCTAACTAAACACCTGGTCGATGGAACGTCGCCCTGTCGAGACATGGTTGTCAATAACATATCACCGCTTGTGCGATTGCCCTTTGCTTCATACCATTCCCTTTATGCATCTTGTTCATACCACTCCCTCAATATATGAGCCCAATCCAATACCATACCACAACGGTTTCACCTTCTGTTGCTAACCAAACACCTGGTCGCTGCAATGTCGCCCAGCCGAGACATGGCTGTCGATAACATATCACCGCTTGTGCGATTGCCCTGTGCTTCATACCACTCCTTTTATGCACCTTGTTGAAGGCCCCCTTAAGATATGAGCCCAAACCAATACCATACAACGACAGCCCATTCGACACTAGTGACTGTCGTGTTTAGATATCGTCCAACGTCATTTTACCGTTGTGGCACACAACATGTGCTTTGTTCAATTGTCAGAAGTAACAGTTCTTGACGCTGAAAGTGTGTCTTTGTGATCATGTTGGTTCTTCGACAACCCCATACCATTACATGAGTAACGCATTTATTTTGGATTGTATTTGTTGTGGCTTGGAAACATAGTTTGCTTATATATGCAACGTTGTCCATTTCGAGTCAGCACTGTACTTTACAGGGTTGACGATGCATTTGCGCACGTGGTCTAGAAACCGTTCCTGCGTGTGCAGTGATTGATGAGTTGGCAACACTGATTGGCCTACGAAAATCAAACAACTCATTTTGCGACAAACTCACTAGCCAAGCGGCAGATCCTCCATTGAAGTGGTTGAGATCGAGCGGTGAGTGCGCATTACGATCGGGTGGCATTAGGTACATCGTCCGATGTAGCCTTATCAGATAACAGTAATCTCTCTTCTCGCAAGCCACCCCAACCACCCTCGTACCCCACCCACCAGCGTCCGTCACCCTCTAGCCCACGACCTTGACGGTGCTCGATGGTTGTGACTGGCGTATCCAGATCGCCTGTGACTCACCAGACGACTAAGTAGTGGGTGGGATCTCTGTGCTAAGTGACTACTATTTTAGGCTACTCTTAAGTATACATTTTCGACGCGACATGATTGTTAGACCGTCGAGTCTGTTTTTGTTACATACCTTTGTGGTATGCTTACGAAACCTAATCAACCTTTCCGCTCATTAACAATAATAGCATTCGTATGACCACCATGACATGTGCCACTCGCCAAAAATAAATAGAGGAGGAAAAGGCCGGATCACGCACGACAACGAGGGAGCCTCTTCGGACCAATCAAGAGGGTGATGGCGTGCGTGGCAGTCAACATAAAAAGGCTCCGGGAAAAAAGGCCGCGCTTGGTCAGGAGAAGTCCGAGAAGAAGGCAGAAGTAAAGGGAAAGCAACCAATGCCACAGAAGCGGGTTTCTACCGTGAAAAAAACGGCGGATGATGCCTTTGGTGGAAGCGAGCCCGGGCCGACTCACGACGGCACCATCAGCGTCAAGGAAGATCCTGGGCGAGGGAGTGCGAGTCTTGCAGATCCGTCGGGGGAGAGAGAGAGCTCAGCAACAGGGGGAAACCACGGCGATGCTCCACGCGACGAGCATGCCGCCATTTAAGAGTTCGAGGCGGAAGCATCGCAGCAGCGTCTGACCCTACTCCAGCCGACCGTGGTCGAAGTGTGTGATGTCGTGGTCGAGAAGGACATCGATGAGGAGAAAAAATATATGGAGGAGGAACACGGCATCGCTGACGTCGGCCGATGCAGCCACGATGATACTAATAAATTTGGCAGCGTTAGTGGCTCTCGTACTTCAGCTGGACGTGGGAGGTGTAGGCAGAGGAAGAGCGAGGGGGAGGAAGAGGATGACACCGCCCTGGCCGGCACCATCAGTACGCGGGCGGAGAAGCGTCAGACGACAGGCGGTGTTGAGGACATCGGTGGTGCCAAAGTTGGGAAAACGCGAGGTGCCAGGGAAGCAAGTGGCAAGTCGACAGGTCGATAGGAGGAGGAGGAGGAGGAGGAGGGGGAGGAGGAGGAGGAGGAGGAGGAGGAGGAGGAGGAGGAGGAGGAGGAGGAGAAGGAGGAGGAGGAGGAGGAGGAGGAGGATGGCAGGGGGGAGGAGGAGGAGGAGGAGGAGGAGGAGGAGGAGGAGGAGGAGGGGGAGGAGGAGGAGGAGGAGGAGGAGGAGGAGGAGGAGGAGGAGGAGGAGGAGGATGAGAAGGAGGAGGAGGAGGAGGAGGAGGAGGAGGAGGGGGAGGAGGAGGAGGAGGAGGGGGAGGAGGAGGAGGAGGAGGAGGAGGAGGAGGAGGAGGAGGAGGGGGAGGAGGAGGAGGAGGAGGAGGAGGAGGAGGGGGAGGAGGAGGAGGAGGAGGAGGAGAAGGAGGAGGAGGAGGAGGAGGAGGAGGAGGAGGATGAGAAGGAGGAGGAGGAGGAGGAGGAGGAGGAGGAGGAGGAGAAGGAGGTGGAGGAGGTGGAGGAGGAGGAGGAGGAGGAGGAGGAGGAGGAGGAGGAGGAGGAGGAAGGGCAGGAAGAGGAAAAGGAGGAGGATATGGTAGCAGGTAAGGTCCCGGGTGCTTGAGGCAGATGAGGGAGAGGTACACGGAAAGTGGGGGGCGGTGCTCGTTATTATGGAAAACGAGGGGCAGTTGACGCACCGTGTGTTTCAAGTCAAAGCCGCGTAAAGTGAAGGTCGAATCTGGAGAGGGTGGTAAAAAGAAAGGGAGCCAAAGCACAAAAGGGGATGGAGGAGAAAAGGGTGGCCGTGCCAAAGGGGTTCCAGTGGGTTCGGCCAAGAAGGAAGCTGCCGGTAAACGTCGCAGCGGCCGCCAAAGCACCCCGCGGAAAGGTGGCAACGAGCGTGCGCAGGCAACTAAACCGAAGGGCCAGCAGCGAGGTATGCGTTGTGCCCAATCCACAAGGCGTGGCTGTCATAGTCTTTGCAAAAGCGTCCATATTAACACCACGCATCCCTTGTTGTTCCCTTGCAAGGAAAGCTAAGGTCGACGAATCTGAAATGCAAGGTAAGGCCTTTATTTCCAAAACAGTCCCCTGCTAACGCTGAGAAAGATTCTTACGCTGCTCGTTGGCATGCATGTGTGCCCCTGTATTGCACCTAAATGACTCTAACTCCGTGCTCATGCTCCCCATACCTCTCAGCCCCTCGAGTTACAGGCATTGGGCCACCGGTAAGCGTGCAACGGATGCAGCTAACGAAAGGGGCCTGCAGAGCGAGTGTTACCCTGCCATCCATAGGAGCCCCGCGGTTCTTCATGCCTTGCAGCGGCCCGTCTAGAGTCGCTGCTACAGCAACCGACACCCCATGAGGAGAGGATGCCGGATCCCCTCCACAATGCAATGCCCTGCACTCCCCTCTTCCCTCACCCTCATACCCATATCGTCCTCTCAACGCATCGCCTGTCCGGGGCAGGGCAAACTCCCCCCCTTACCCGTCTTTGCCTCGGGCATCAGCCAAGCACATCTGTCAATCCCTTCCCTGAGTTGCAGTTTTCCCGCCAGCATGATAGTGCGAGTGCACACGGGAATGCCACAGATGACATTGATTTCCTTGGCCGGATGGAAGATTCTTCACACCCAGGCCCCAATCCCATGGGTACCCTAGGTGGAACGACAGAGCAGGTGCAGTTTGCTACACACGACGAGCTCGAGGCTATCTGGGCTGAGATGTACGCCATGTTTGCTCAGGTCGGCCTGCGCCGTCGAGCACATGGTAGACTATGGCTAGTACTCCCCCGCCGATGAGTGCCGTGGACAAGGCACGACCGCTAGTGTTGAAGGAGACGAACCCATTCCCGGTATGTGACGGGCCAAGTGGGGTGGGTTGGGGGGGACGTTGCGGTGGCAGGGGGGTGTGACGTGGCAAGTGGGGCGGGTTGGGGGTGACGTGGCAGCGAGGAGGGTACACGAGAGTGGCGCGTGACGTGACGAGGCATTTCAGGTGAGTAGGGTGTGACGTGGCTTGTAGTAGGGGGGTGTGGCGAGGCAAGTGGGGCGGGTTGTGGGTGACGTGGCGGTGGTAGGGGGGGGTGACGTGGCAAGCGGTGCGGGTTGGGGGTGACGTGGCTTTTGGTAGTGGGGTGTGACGTGGCAAGTGGGGCGGGTTGGGGGTGACGTGGCTTGTGGTAGGGGGGTGTGATGTGGCAAGTGGGGCGGGTTGGGGTTGACGTGGCTTGTGGTAGGGGGGTGTGACGTGGCAAGTGGTACGGGATGTGGTTGACGTGTATACGGGTGTTAGAGATTGAGGACGGAGTCTAGGAAGATTATGGGCCGAAATAACTCAAATTCGCTGGATTAAATCTCTGGACAGAATTGTCGACTTCACAAGAAACGCCGTCGACAAAACGTTCACCGTAAAAACTTCTCCAATCTCAGATATGTTGTAGCACTAGATCGCATGAAACGGTGAAGTGTTTCTCGAGTTATGGAATTTGGTGCACTAGGGGGTATGCTGAAGCTCAAACTTAACTCAATCACAATTGTTCAACCAAGAACCACACAAGAGAATTGGAGTAGCAAGAACCAGGTAGAAGAGGAAGAGGAGGATGAGAGGGAAGGTCCCAAGAGAGTCTTCAACCAAGGAAACCCATAGTCACACAATTCCCCTCCCTATAGGCACCCCAACTTTGACCTTTGTCACTTTCCCAACCCATGCCATCCACCTCACCCAACTTGGCCACACTTGCCAACTTGGTTTGGTTTCTCCCAACCATTTGGTAGAAATTATAGTAGAAGTGACGAAATTCTTAACCCCCAATGGTCTATACCCCTTATGGAGTCACCCCACAAATTTCCAAAGTTGCCGCAACGAAATAGCACAAGCATACGAACTTCAACAGTTCGAATCTTTCTTGTCCGTGCTCCGATCGCGACGATTCTTGATTCGTCAAAAAGCTCTTGAGCAGAGAAGTCATTTCAAAGATCTGGTCAAGCAAAATAACATTCACACACACTCAAAAAGTCCAAACCAAATCAAACGCAAAGTCATTCACACGCGCACACCACGCATGCAATGCACGAACATAGGATGGGAGGCAGACAGACGTGAATGCAAATGATAGCATCAAATAACAAACTCCCCCTCTGGCTGCCAACCGTCATCCCACATGCCTCAGCTCATGCATGAATACTCATCCAGCAAGCTTCATATCCTTCCAATGCTCGGGTTCAGCCAGGCGCTTGTGAAAATGTCAGCCTCTTGCTGCTGGGACTTCACTATCTCCAACCGCACCTCCTTGTCCAGGAGCCTCCTCACCCAATGCCACTTAGGAGTGATGTGCTTTGTCAGCCCATGCAAACAAGCATTCTTGGCTGGCTTCACAGGTAACTTATTGTCACAGAAAATCACAGTCTCCTTCTGGCACACTCCGATCTCCTCCAACAAACGCCTTAGCCGCACCACCTCCTTTGCCCCATGATGCAGGGCCATGTACTCTGTCTCACACGAGAACAGCCCCACCTCATTCTGCTTCTTGCTGCGCCAGCTCATTGCACCACCTCCAAACAGGCACACATAACCTCCAATGCTAGTGCCATCTGCCTTCACAGAGTTGAAGCTAGCATCGGTTTAGCAAGTCAAGAGCATCCCCCCCTTGTCCAAATCAGCAGCACCATGCTGCTGCCTTTGCCTCACAGCACTATACTCCAAGCCCACAGATGTTGTAGCACTCACATAGCGGACCAACCTCTTGGCCGCTTCAAGTTGCTCATGACTGCGACGTGAAACCACACGGGCAAGCCTGGATGTAGAAAAAGGCTATGTCAGGCCGCGTGTGGTTCGCCGCATAGTTTAGTGCCCCAACCATGGAATGAAAAACGTCTTGTCGCTCTCACCCACCACCTCCTTATCACCACAAGGCTCCACTGTGAACCCTAAAGGCAATGGGGTTGCTGGCTTTCCTCCATTTTGCAGCCCATACTTCTCAGCCAACCCCTCACAAAACTTCCTCTGGTGCAACCTCAACACTCCTTTGTCAAGGTCCCTCTCCATATGCATCCACAGGTAGTACTTCACATCTCCCATCTTTGAGCACTTGAACTGCATCTCCAAGATCTCCTCCACACGGTCAATCATAGCAGACGACTTAGAGAAGAGAAGGATGTCGTCCACATACACCAAGACCATGAGGAAATGCTCCTTCTCTTTCAGCAGGAACAGGCTGTGATCAAACTCGCTCTTCTTGAAACCCCCAGCCAGCAGTGTCTCCTCCAGCTTGTGGTACCATGCGCGAGGAGCCTGCTTCAAGCCATAGATGGCCTTCTTCAGCCTGCACACCCTGCCGCTCCCATCATCCAACCCCTCAGGCTGCAGCATGTACAGCTCCTCCAGGATGATCCCATTGAGGAAAGCAGTCATGATATCCATCTGCTTGATCCTCCATCCGCGGTTTGCAGCCGTTCCCAACATCACCCTCAGTGTTGCCCCTTTCCTCACAGGAGAAAATATCTCATCGAAGTCCTTTCCCTTTGTCTGCTGAAACCCCTTAGCCACAAGCCTTGATTTGTAGGAGGTCAGCTCCCAATCAAGTCCATACTTGTGCCTGAAGATAAGCTTCGAAGAGTTTGCCGTCTTCCAAGGAGGCAGCTCACACAACTCCCACGTCTCATTCTCCAGCACAGAGTCGTATTCCTCCTTCACACTCTGCTTCCACTTTTCAGCATCGGGGCCGCTCAGTGCCTCAGCCAGGGTCTTGGGCTCAGGGACGGCTGCCCAATAGTAGTGTGCTATCTCATCCTCATCACACTGCTCAGCGATACTCCCGGCCGGTACCACCTTTGGCTGGCCACGACTCGGATAGGTCACGTGGGCTCAGGGACGGCTGCCCAATAGCAGTGTGCTATCTCATCCTCATCACACTGCCCAGCGACACTTCCAGCCGGTACCACCTTTGGCTGGCCACGACTCGGATAGGTCAGCCTGGCAGGAGGACGCTCAGGCGGGTGTGGGGCACGTGATGGAGCACCTTGCTGCTGCTGCGGCTGCTGCTGCTGGTGCTGTTGCGGCTGCTGCTGCTGCGGCTGCTGCTGCTGCGGCTGTTGCGGCTGCTGCTGCTGTGGCTGCTGCTGCTGTGGCTGCTGCTGCTGCTCCACCTCAGGTTCTCCCCCATCCCCAATCACCCCAGAGATCTCCTCCTCTGACACAGAGACTTCCACCTGCCTTGAAGGCCGCTGCATCTCATCGGCCTCAACAATGAGTGGTGTAGTGGGAAGCTTTGGCTGCTGCTGCTTCCACTCCTTGTAGTACAAGGACTCAATGAACTTCACATCCCTTGATACAGTCAGCTGCTGGCTAGTCAAGTCCCATAGCAACCAGCCCTTGAGATCCTTACCAATCCCCAAATGCACACCCCATCTCCCAGAAGCTTCCAGTTTTCCCCTCTTCTCCTTTGGCACATGGAACACCACCATGCAACCGAAGGCTCTCAGCATGTTCAAAGCTGGTGCACTCCCATACAAATTGGTGTAGGGGACCCACTGCTTGTCCCCTACAGTTGCTAGCACCCTGTTCTTCACAAGGGCGACCTGACGCAGTGCAGTCACCCAAAACGGATCCGGCAACCCAGC